TACAGAATCGTAGATGATAATTCCTGCTTTTGACCAACTAAATTTATGGCAAAATTTGTTTCAGCACCTGGGGAAAATTACTCAGGCCAAGTGGCTGGGAATGGGAATGACAGTCACGGGCCTACACACATCTTTATGATATCACCAACATCACACTCAGAAAGTCCCTGCTGGTATCTCCTGGGCAGGGACCCATAAAGCCCCTCCCAGAGACAAGTGGGTCGGCCAGAGGGTCTAGATGGATTTGCCCTCACTGGCCTTATCCTTCTGAAAGGAAGCCATGGAAGATGCCAGAGGCATCAAAGCTCAGGGCAGGAGACCTTCTAGTAGAATGTCTACATCCCAGCATGGCACGGGAGGCAGGGTGACCATCTAGGAGAGACCAATATAAAATGAATGACCAAGGCCATCAGATAGGCACCAACATGCTCACTGTTTTACTTTCACTTTATTTCATTGTCTCATTGTTTTATTATGAACACCCAGCTATACTTGGGTAATTTTTACCTTGTCTTCCTAAAACACTTTTGTGCTTATTGGAACTAAAAGGAATATTGCCTCCCGTACACATTCCTCTTTCCTTCCTCTTCCCTAAATTGTTATCTTTCCACTGTATGATAGATATGTCCACAGTATAACCAATAACTCAAATCTTTTACTTACAGTAAAAGATAATACTGTGAACAGAGAAGACTCCTGCTCAGCCAGTTCTTTTATGCATTTACTCATTTAGATGATATTCTCTTTGAGCAAGCACTTTAAAACAATATGAAATTTTTTTACTTGACAAATTAGTGTTTCTTCTAGTATCCAGAAGACAAATTTTCACTTACTATGAAGATGGGCTTTGCCAACTGAATCTCAGGCACAACATTATAAAGATTTAAATGTCATTTCGGTGTTACCATTTGCTAACTTTAAATCCTCATCAAACGCATATTTTATTAAATGCGACCCATTCGTTTACATCAACTGACCAGGTGTCTTGAAAGGTAGTTTGTCAGGAGCTTGTACAAAACCAGCCTGAAGAAATCGTACGTATAAATCTTAGTACCAACAAATCAAAGCAGAGTTTCTTGTTCTCTTCAGTGATACTTAAGCATACCTTAGCATATAAACGACTTCATTTTTTAAAAAATTGATTGTCTTGAATATTGAAAAATATATGCAGCCGCTAAGCAGTGTTTACATGTATGTTGTAGCAATTTCAGAAAGAGCCAATAAGATGTTACATGGAAGAAGAAAAAAAAACAGGGTATCCAGCTGAACAGAACAGAATGGGAGCTCTCAGCACTTAACAAAATACAGTGAATGAAAAAAGACTGGAAGGAACAGGATTCTGTTCGATTCTGTTCTGCCTCGTGAGGCTTTCCTGTCCCTTTCGTGTTTTATATAATGAACATGCATGGCCTTTTCCTTTTCTACATTTTTTAATTGATTCATGCTCACTGTAGCGATGCGTTTCTTTTATAATCAGGGGGGAAAAAGTTTAGCAAAATGCTGAAAATGGAAAGGTCAGTGAGAGTGTGCTCTCAAGGAATTCACCAGCTTGAGAAACGATGTGGCTGAAAATATCAACAGCCTCAAGAGAAAGTGAGATGGATTCACAGCTGGGTCAGGGGACAGAGAGGGAATTCGTATTTACTGAACGCCTACCACAGGCCTTCTGCAGACAATTTATACATGTCTTGTCTCATTTCATCTGCATGATAATCCCATGAGCCAGGTACTATGGTTGGTTCCTTTTAACGGATATGGGAACAGAAGCACGGAGCAAGGCTAGGACATCTCCATCTTGCACATGAGGTAAGACAAATTTGAACCCGGTTTCTTGGGCTGTAGCAACCAAGCTCTTATCCTTGCATGGTGCTGCCTCGAAGGCAAAGTGGGGACAGGATCACCTCAATCCCAAATGTACTGGGGGTCCACTGGGATCTTGTCCAGCCCATGATGGAAACTGAATCCCGGTGTGCCTCTGCCCTCGGTCCATGGCCACTCTCCACCAAGAAGTCCTTTCCTTTCCCACCCAAATTATGTCTACCACCCACGGCCTGCTGCAATGATCATCCAGGCCCAGGAAAGAGAGAAGATATCCACCAAGCAGGACCACACCACAGGATGGACAGCAGCCCAGAGCACAGAAGGAAGGACATGCAGAGAGTTGAGTGCCTGCCCAGCTGAGCCCCAGGCTAGGGACAAGGAGCCTCTGAGCACTGCTCTGCACTCCCTGAGGCCCTTGAGGGGCTGGCTCTTCCTATCCCTTGTCAACATCCAAGGTCTGTGCAAGGTCATGGGATAACAATGTGGATTTCTGCCCACACGGCTCATCAGTTGAAAGCACATACCAGCTTTAACCAGCACACACTCTCTGGGCAGCAGGCATCCCAGTAGCACCCGGTCAGTATGCTTCTACCCGGATGTCATCAGACATCCCTCAGTCACGAGGATCCAACTCCCTCCTTCTGGACAGGTACACACGCTCCCCCTCACACCCTCTGAGACTGTCAGCCTGTATCCCTGGAGCCTGAGACATTCTCCCAATCATAAAAATACAGAAACTGAGATCCAGAAAAGCAAGACCCTGGATCTCCAGGACAAAGGTGCCCTGGGGCTTGAAGGTTGAATGGCCCACAGGTATGTTTTGTTTGGCTTATTGTTTAAATGGTTTGATTCGTTGACAACAGTTAGAAATCAAATTTTATAATTAAAGTCCGGATTTGCGGCTCCCCTTACAAAAAAAAATCGGCACATCTACTATACTAGGATTTTCATTCCCAAATGGCAAAATCGGCTACGACTGTATAACAGCTGCTCCTTTTAACAGAGATGACCTCTCCAGACCGCACGCTACAGGCCCTGCAGGGTCCAGCTGCCCGGTTCACCTATGTGTGTCACCTGCCTAAGACTGTAACCCTGGGCAAGAGCATCATCTTCATTCCCTGGAGACCTGCTGTTGGAGGGAGGGGGGATGGGCATCATTCAGGAGCAAAATGAATGAACATGGAATACTCCAAACAGCAGAGGGGAAGTCAAAAGAAGCAAAATATGTCAACAGAGAATGTGGAACAGCCAAAGCAGCATGTGGAACACAGGCAGGATCACCACCACACTGTGAGCCCCTGGGTGCAAGAAATGCATATGTCCACCTGTGTCCTCAGCTCCCAAGCACAGAGAATGACTGTCCACAGAGACAAATGTGTAGAAACAGTGTCAAGGGAGCAAGAAGCACTGTAAAAATCATGGCATGTGACTGGATAAGTCCGTGTCACCCCAGATCCCCATCCCAGTTAGGGTCATTCCTGGCTAAGGAGGCCCCACCCTCCCTGGCTGGAGCTCACACCAGACACTTGCAAGGAGGTGTAAGGAGATCACACAGAAAGGAAGTCCAGGGGTGGGCCATGTGAGGGCAGGGGCTGTGGTAGGCCACACAGACACCAAAGGATGGGGATTCCCCCTTCTGTACCTCAGTGCACATCAGACAATAGACGTCTGCCAAGGCTGGAAGCAGCAGTCCCCACGATAGGCAATGCCAGCTTCACCCCCCTCGCCACCACTCCAAAAACACACTCAAAACTCCAGGCCTATACACCCACTTTAAGGCATCCTTGGGCCTTCAGGACTCACAGTTGAGCCTTCCCCTTCTCTGCTGCACCCAAGAATAGGAGACTCCCAAAGACCTCCTTCTAGCACAAAGTTCTCTCCAGCACCAGCTCTGACCTTCTGGACACAGATCAGAGGCTTCACTGAATCACCCTACCTGTGCAGGTACCCAGGAGCCCAGCAGCCAACATATAACTCAAGGCAGCAGAAGGGCTCTGGGCCCAGCCACTGGAGGGATGGGCTGGGGGGGTGCAGGAGCTGGCCTGGAACACTCAACCAGCCCACCTCTTACCTATACCAGCTGTCCTGTCAGCCCCTCCTGGGAGGAATCCCTGCATCCTGTGCCACCAGCTGTGTCCCCTATCCTCACACTCCAGGGCAAGGGCCTCAGAGTCAACCCATGGATATGGAGAGCAAGCCAGAGCACAGAAAAAGGTACCTAGGCTAGGCAGATGCCAGAGGTGGAAGGAGCCCTAGGCCCTGATCAGGAAGGTGGCTAGTGACATGGAGGAGGAACGGGGCTCCAGAGCCCAGCCCTGAGCCAGGTGAGAAGGAAAGGAAAGAGAGAGGAGGGGGAAACAGAGGGTGCCGCCATTGAGAACGCCCCCGCCACGCACCCGTTAACCCCCTGCTGGCGGGTCCAAACCGAAGCAGCTGGCTGCAGGCCACGGCGGCCGGCCGCACAGGCAAGGGCTAGGATTCCCTCCCCGCAATCCGGCCGGCCCAACTCTGCTTCGTTTCTGGTCAAACAGCGCCCACCTCCGGCCCAGGCGACGGCGCCTCCGCCCGCGGCAGGGACAGCGAGAGAGAAACCGGCTCCTCCAAACCCGGAGGAGAAGCACGGCACAGACACGCCGGCCGAGGCACTCAGTGGGCGCAGGGCACAACATGCCGTACGTAACAGATTGTGCTGCGTAGAGGGGAGTCGGCGGGCTCCGGCGCCAGGCGCTCCTTGCTTCCAGACGCGGAAGACCCCTGCCCCTGGAGGTCAGGGGCGGTGCACCGACACAGGTACCCGGCACGCAGACACGCCCACCCACAAACACTCAAGAAACAAAGACGGCCCTGAGCTACATACGCCTGCGCCGCCAGCGCTGGGCGCACACACGCGCGCACCCAGCTGTAAAAGAACCGCACAATCCCGCAACACGCCCGGCAAAGAGCCCAGCTCGCTGTGCTCACAAGCTCCCGGCTCCAGCTCGCCGGCGCAGAGCACTCCTCGCGCCACCGTTTGGTGGGCTGGCGAGGGCGCGCGCAACGTGCTTGACACCGCGCGTCTGCCCAGGTGCACAGGGGGCTTTGGGTAGCCAAGCCCGTCCCAACCCCGCGGGTCTCCGCTGCTGCGCCGCCTGGCAGGCCGCGGCCCTGTTTAGTTAGCCCTGGGCGCCGCGGCCACTCACCTTCCTGAACGGCCTGGAACGGGTTGTTGGCCTCGATGACCTTGATGGAGTAGGTGATCTTCTCGCTCTGCAGGATGTCATCGTTGAGGCTGAGGTCTGATACGGCCAGCTGGAACACCCTGTCGTCCTTGGCCGCGTTCTCCTCGAAGATGGCACCTAGAGGAGAGGAGGGGTCAAGACCCGGCCTAGAGAGGAGCTCTCCCTCCCCACCCCACCCCCACCCTAGCCTTGGCCTACGGGTCATGATGCTGGCAGGTCGGCTGGTTGCCTGGTGGGAAGTTTCTCGGACTGGGGTTTCAGCTAGACAGGACAGTTTAAGGCTCTCCTCGTCAACCAGCACGGGAAGACGTCCCCCACACACTGAGTACATGTGCACACAGTTGACACGAGTTACACATTGCATATGCTGCCACCAGGTCACACATGTGTCTCACAACCAAGCCACCTCATGTCCCAACCATGCCCCACGGACTGAGGCAAGCTGGAGTGGCCTCAGGCAGCACCTAAATGCCTTGATATGGCCCCTTGAATCCCATCGCAGGAGCCAGGAATTTCCCCTGCAGGGCAACGTCCCAGACCCCAATCCCAAAATGGAATGATGACTTCCTTCTGCCCTAAGATCCCCCTTTGAGTGAAGCTGAGTAAGCAGGTCAACATTGAGTTTGCTGCACCTGGGGGCTTCTTTACGCAGGGGCCTGGATGATCAGCAGGCCAGTCCCATCCTGGTTCCACTTAAGGCTACCCAGCCTGGCTCCCTGGGCTCCACCCCTCCTTGCTTATTCCTGCGTGTATGTGGAAGGAGAGGGGACTGTACCCTAGACCCCTTCCCTTCAGACCCAGTAGAGCTGAGGCCTTCATAAGGTACTGCTCTTGAAAGGGCCTTCTAGAACCGCGAACATCTCCAGGGCAGCCTCGGGCTGGCCCTTTGCGCGCTTAGCACCGCCTTGGCGGACTCTGCGCTTCCAGCGGAGATCGGTCCGATTCGCCAGAGCTTGGCCCTGCAGCCTGGGCAACTCTGGAGTCTCCCCAGCCTCGCCAGGCCCCGAGGGTCCCCACGGTCCCAGGACTGGGCCCGATGATCCCGGGAGCTGGGGACTGGGCGGGAGGAGGGAGGCCCGGGTTCCACGTTACACCCAGAGCCGCAATGCTGACCGCGAGACCCGAGGCCCCCCTCCCCCCGGGCGGGAAGCAGGTTTGGCGCCGGGCCCCTGCGGGGGGCGTTGCAGCTCACCCAGACGAGGCCTACTCCCTCACCACTCCTCCCCACCCCCCACCCCACGCCCTGCCCGTCCCATCATCCCTGCCTTCTCACACCTCCCAACCCCCAGTTTCTCTGTGCTCGCTGGTCTTTCCCAACTTCCGGAAAGGCGACTGCAGAGGGGCTCCCCCAAAGCAACCGCTCTCAGCCCCCCAACCTGGCCCAACTTCCTGGGATTCCTCCCCTGTCGCCACCAACTCCCACACACTCCCCTTCCGCGCGCCCCCTCCTCTTCTCATCTAGCTCATCTCTCCTGGTTCTATCCCTCCGTCCATCTCTTCCCGCTCAGCGCACACACACACTCCTCCCCACCCCCCGCCGCCCA